TATATATATATATATATCAATTTGAGCAAAGGAGTGTTCAAAACTATTTATAATCAAGTTTATTTGAAGAGAAGCTTTCTGATGTCATAGAAAAGTGAATGTATCCTAATTTCATCAGACACGTGAGCTGTTGATAATTTTAATTCTCCCTCTCCTCTTTCCGGCTTCAGCAATAATTTATTAAAGTTTAAAAATACTTTTATTAAACATTAAATTTAAATTTTTCACCTCATTTCATAAAAGGATTCTAAAGTTATTTCTTAAGAACGATTCAAATTTCTTACACCGCAATATTTTTTAGCTTATAAAAAGTATTTTTTTTCTTCCTTTTTAAATATGGCATTCAGTTAAATTGATTACAATCCTATACGTTTCCTTAAAAAAAAACGTGCTTTTTATAAATATATTTCTATCATTTTGTAATAATGGTCTTTTCAGCCCTTGTTCTTGTACCTTGCACACTTAGCAGTTCATTCAGGCAGCAGATATAATCCCGTGCAAGCCCCTGCGGAGATAATTAGAAAATTCAAATATATCAAAAATTTAAATCGCAGAATACAAGCAGGTAAGTGTTTTTCCTTCCTGTGTTTTGCATACAATATTTTTTTTTAAAAATAAAATTCCTGTTTGAAAGACATATATCTCTTTCAATTGCCAGTGATTGCATTAATAATTTTATTATACTATTTTCAATACATAATTATTATTTTTGAGATTTGAATTATTGTCTAACTGTTGGCAAAACCGTGGTAAAAACCGCACTTTGAAACTTTATTCTCCTTTCTGTGTTTAATACAAAGTTTTCTTTTTTATGTTATTGTTGGGCAAATTGTAATGAGAGTCAAAATTATGCTACTGAATATGTATTTATTTGAGAATATTGTACTTCTTTGAAAAGTAGAAGCTGTAAAACTTACATTTATTAGCCAAAAAAAGATAGATTAGATGATAGATTCCACTAGAATGCTTAAATCGTTATTTGATTAAATTGATTTTCTGAGCTTCATTAATGATTTCAAAACTGGTGATCATTCCAGCTCCATTATTTCAGAACAGAGACACGGAGTGAATCCTTGAGATCGGCACCTTTGTTACGCAAAATAAATGAACTGATATGCATGGATAAACAGCTGCTTGGCAATCATCAGCGTATAATATTTTTAATAACAACTATTGCCATCTAGCGAACAAAAAATACGTGAAACCATTTCGCCAACCCATGAGCATCCAACATTTGTCAATAATTTCATAAATGACATAGTTTTTACCTAACTGCTTCTGCCTTGTTTACCATTGACTATATTGGAGACGTAACTACGAGTGTTTTTAACACTGCATTTTAAAAAAAAATGCAGAAAATAATTTATAATTTTATTATTTCAGCCATGACATCAGTATTGGATGATTCTGTTGGCGAAATTATTAAAGCTTTACGTCAGAGAAATATGTTGGACAACAGCATAATTGTTTTTGCTTCTGACAATGGAGGACAGGTAAATGGTTTTCATGGTGGATATTCTTCTAATTATCCGTTGCGGAGTAGAAAAAGAACTCTATGGGAAGGAGGGGTTCGGTTACCTGCTCTTATATGGAGTCCATTATTGAAATTGAAGGAATCTCGAGTATCAAAACAGTTAATGCATGTCTCTGATTGGCTACCAACTCTTTATTTTGCAGCAGGTAAATTTATTTGAAATCTTTTACTCCACTTGTACTCCACTCAACCATAAAAAAGTATAACTATTAAACAATTAATCCCAAGAAACTGAAGCGGTAAGGTATTGCTTGATTAAAAACTTCATTCCCTTCAAAAATATGCAGGTTGGAAATAATAGTCAACATGTTTCAAGCGCTCAAAAAACCAAGTGCTCATTTTCAAGACATGCCTGATTTGAATGAGAAGAAACAAAAGTGATTTAAAATAAAAAGCGAAAGGCTTCCAACGAAAAAGTGAAAAATATGGGTGAGCAACCAAGACAAGGAAAGACACAGGAGATGAAAAACAGAACAAGAAAAACCATAGTGGTCGAGAGAGACAAATTAGAATATGCACGCGCTATGGACAGGTGGCGAGGAACTAATGTCGTTAACAAGGGAATCAGCATTCAAGAAAACAAGATTCCTTGGCATTAAGATGAGGTGATGCGACTGGGGTGGAAATAATTTTGGTATTTTCGAAATTGAACTTTGGGTCCAAGATTCCAACAATGTGCAGCTGTTGATGATTTCTCGTATTCCTGAGTGACATCTATAGTGTTCTTCAAGTCTAAATTTCAAGCGCATCCAGTTTATCCGATGTAGCCAATGTCTCACTGACACAGAATGTGGTAAATGCCTCAGCGATTATCAAATTAAAAGGATTTATTTAATTTTGTTAAAATTTTGATATTTAATTTTGATGAAAGGCCCAAAAAGGACTTTAAAACCAAAACGGGAGAGGATATCATCTATTCTTAAACAAACGGGAGAACGAAATGGTAAATTGACAAGTTTCCAGTTAGGTTAGAAGACTAGAGGCGTTTGGGTCTAGAGAGAGTTCAGCAAGAGCTAAATCAACTGTAGAAAGGTTAAACTCATAACAAGTGAGAAGAAAGTTCGGAGTTTAAGGAAGGTTTAGTGCGCGGAAAACGAAAGTATGAAATGCAAATTTTTTTTTAATATTTAGGGTGATTAGAATTATTATGAGGGAGTAAAGAGACGGCAAAATCTTTACGGTAAACAGAGGTGAAAAAAGATCAGAGTATTTAGTTACAAGAACACATAAAAAAGGTAAAGTAAAATGTCCGCGTCTAAAGTAAAACTGATTTCTGCGTCCTTAGACTTGGAAATTAATTCACTACTCAGCTCTTGTGGCTTTTCTTGTTCTGTTTTTAATCTTTCTCTTCTCTCTCGGCTAGTGCGGTTTTTCGTGTTTTAGTTTTTCATTTTTATTTTCCATTTGTCGTTAGTAACTTTACGTTTTATATTTCAAATCACTTTTGTTTCTTCGCATTTATGTCTGGCAAATCTTGAAAATGGGCATCTTTTTTTCGAGCGTTTAAACATGTCGACTGTTCTTTTTGATTTTAATATTTTTGAGGCGAATGAAGTTTTTAATTAATTAAATATACCTCTTGTTCACCTTACTCGTTGAAAGGGTAATAGACGTAATTTTTAGCTAAGTGCAAAATAAGTTCTGCACAAGTTTTATTATGTTATGAATACATCGTAAGCATAGGAGAAAAATGTGGAAAAATAGAGAAGAACTACTTTCGTCTCAAATTTGTTTTGTCCATTTCTCTTTGAGAGAATGGTTTTTGTACCTTGCCTTAAATGTTGTCTATTATCTTCATATTAAGTAAAACTATGCATAGGGGTATTAAAATACGTTTAATTTGTTTTTATTTAATTGAAACAAATAATCACTTAGAAAACATTTATATTATCTTGATTGTCTCGAAAATGGCTGATATAAAATGTACTTTATTTTTTAAATATCTTCTACATCGATTCCTTTATTATAACTATTATTGATCGGATCAGATGTAAACTTATACTTTCATACAATAACAATTTTTGAATAAATAATTAAAATGTGGTTGTAAACTTCATACTTTAAGTAAAATCTAGTATACAACACATTTTGATGGAAAAAATATTCATCAATTAAGTACTTCCCGCCATTGCGCATAAAAGATCTGAATACATTCGAATTCTTGGAAGCATGGAAATTGATTTGATTTTAGTCAAAGATGGTCGAAACGACGGTTTTTATTTGTTTTGGAAAAACTTTTTTATTGTCTTTAAACTTACGTTACTGAGAAAAGAATATTTTAAAATTTGAACTGACAAGAAATTTTTTCTTCTACATTAAACGTTTTAACATTTTATAGAATCTATAAGCAACATATGGGAAAAATGCCAGTTAAAAGTTAAGTCAGTTTCTCACAGTACTTCTTTACAATAGTTTTTTGTCACATATTTTTTTTCTGCAGTCTCACCGCTACGCGTGACAGCTGGTAATCCATTATTTTTCTGAGGCAATTCAAGCTAAGCACAAGCTTTTGCATTCTGTTTTGTCGATTAAATTTCTAGTATTGCAGACAATGCATGGTGAGCGTCTTTAGCAAACTTCTTTTTGTAGATTTGCAGTGGAAAACTTTAACCTCGTCACGATTGAGTGAACTATTGGTTAGGATTTTCAAACAGTTAGAGGACTATTTCAGTTAACAATTAATTTTGTTACGTCACAAAATCCAAAATATGTTGACTATTACTGAATATAGTATCATTTTACAGGAGGGAATCCAGACAACTTGGGAATTTTGGATGGCCACAACATGTGGCCTTCACTTGTAGCTGCAAAGCCATCTCCAAGAACAGATCTACTTCATGGATTAGATCCCATTGTCGGTTTTTCAGCGTTTAGAAAAGGAGACTGGAAATTAGTCAATGGAACCAATGGGGAAGGGTATGATGGTTGGTATGGTCCAACAGGTACAGAAAATATCAATGTCACAGAATCAATGGATAAATGGGTATTCAGCAAAGGAAGTGTTGTCGGAGACATTTTGAAACAAACAGAACATTGGTTAGTGAAAGACGTTGATAAGTGGTACAGCGAGTCTCTGGTTCAATGCAACAAGTACGAGAAAGAAAATGCTTTTGACTCTTTTCCACATAACAAACCCAGCTTATTTAACATTAAAGATGATCCATGTGAATATCTTAATTTAGCTTCATTTTATCCTGAGGTAAGATGCCATATTATATATAAGATTCAAAAGAACCAGGTACTAAAAAAATGACAGGTGGTTTAAAAGAGTAATTAAAAGAAAAAAAATAGAAAAAATATGCGTGGTTTGCACTTTACTTACGAAAGCGTTTTAAAGTTATAGTTACAAGTGTAGATAAAGTTAAAGATAAATAAAGTGTAGTTAAAGATAAAGTTATAGTTACAAGTGTGTAAACAGATGTTATTGCTGCCAGTTAAACTACGAAATAATGTTTTCTGCAGTATTTCATACCATGCCAAATTTTTATATCTTTGCACTTCCGTCTGCGAGTTTCAGTGGTCCCGCAGTAGACTGATCGTTAAGACACGGTTCCCAGCAGATCACAGAAGTAAAGCATCACTGACATACGGTCAGTGTGCGGGTGGGTGACCACTTGGATCAGTCTGCGTAGGGACCGAGGGTGTGCGGTATTGGTCCTCGTTAAACTGTGCTACGGTAAAGTGCTCGACTTCGCGCGCAGGTCGTCGGGCTACCGAAGCGGGGGTGCCATCCCCTCCGCAGAGGATCAAAATTGTGATGGCATGTCTTCGGATCATCCTCCGGGATGTTTCCCAGACCGTCACCAATAGCCCATTGTGCAGCTCCAGTGCGACGTAAATTAACAACAACAGCAGCAAGTTTCAGTGTGCTGCGTTGTTGCAGAAGAAGATGGCTATTTTGAGGGAACGAATAGTGAGATAAATGTTTCCTTATTAAAAATGCCATCTGAAGAAATATTTGACTCATTTTATAAATTTCGGGAAATAAAATTGGTTCCTAAAACAGAATGCAGCAAAGTGTGCAATTCTAAATTCTTCAATTACTTAAATTGCATTTTTTAAAATTGCTTGTCATTTTTTGACATCCAGTCAAATAAGGAAATGCCGCAACTGCTGTTAGTTTCTTAACCATCTCTCGATCAATTTATGTTTGTAATGTTCATAATGTTTGTAATGTATGTTTCTATGTTCATAATTTAAATCTTGAAGAATAAGAACTACCAATTAGAAAATTAGTATTGAAGTTAAAAGAGAAGTAAAAACGTTATCTGTCTTTAAATTTACTATAATCTGATGATTCAATATTGAGATCATCGCGTTTTCGTGGGAGGCTCCAATACGCAAACGATAGACTTATATTATGAAAAATATTAATTTCTAATTGATTTCTGAAATGAGAATTTTGGGTTATCAGGTTAAGTAACACATTATACTAATATTTGTTAATTAAATCCACTACATATTTTTCTAAAATTTAATTTTTGTAAATTATTCGAATTGAAGGCATTTTAGATTTAAAATTTTAGTTAGGTATGATGTCTGCAAACAATATTTCACAAACAATATTATACTCAAAACGATGCACCAACTCATCCAAGTTTACATTTAGTGAAGGGTTTTAGAATGCAATTTTGTATGGCAAAAAAGCAAAATTTGAACGAAATCGATCGAATAATTCATGAAAAATTGAATGTTTGAGAAGTTGCACAACTGTAACTTTTTAAAATTCCATCAAGGTAAAAGGAGATTAAATGATTTTTTTAAAAAGTGTTATTCGATAATCAAACTGGTTTTGATGCTTTTTAATCCTGTCCTAACTAAAAATAACCCCGTGTTGATTTTTTAGGTTTCGATGTTTCAAAATGTATTAATTATAAATATAAAATTTTTATTTCATTTATTAAAATATATAAACTTGTTAGAAACAACGCAGCTTTTAGTTTTTCTTCATTTTTGAACATAATACAAATTAAGGCAAGGATTGCGAAAAAAGCTGTACTTCTACAGTACGCAAAAAATGTACAATCCTTCACCGCTTTTTAATTTAATTTATCTGTGTTATAAGTAGTCACTCTTTTTCAGATAGTTGATGCCATGATGGAAGAAATAAAACTGTATCAAAAAGTCTCAGTTGAACCTCAAAGCAAGCCGGGAGATAGAAATGCAAATCCAATGTGTTATGGTTTTGCCCATGTGACTTGGATGGAACCGGAGTTCTCTGCTCAATATGAGCAATGTGATTTTTCTGACCAAATACAAGATTCATTAAATAATAATAATGTTAATAGTGATACATGCACTCTAAAGAAACGGAATATGATCTCTTAGCCAGACAGTTTTAGATGTGTAGAATTCATAATGAACTGTTTGCAAATAAATACTGTTACTAATTTTATCCATTTTAGTAGGTCACATTGTTTCAATACTTCATAAACTAGACAGATGTATTAAAACAAAGTGGTATAATTAGTTGAAAGAGCAAGTGTCAGATTTCCTTCCTCAGAATACTACTGAAGTTAGTTAGATGCATTAAAAAAAAAGAACAAATGTCAGACTTGAATCTTTAGAGTACTTCAGAAACAAGGCAGATGTTATTAAAAGAGAATGAGTTGAAGGAACAAATGTCAGACTTGAATCTTCAGAATACTTCAGAAACAAGACAGATGTTATTAAAAAAATAAGTTAAAAGAACAAATGTCAGTCTTGAATCTTCAGAATACTTCAGAAACAAGGCAGATGTTATTTAAAAAAAATAAGTTGAAAAAACAAATGTCAGACTTGAATCTTCAGAATACTTCCGAAACAAGACAGATGTTATTTAAAAAAAATAAGTTGAAAAAACAAATGTCAGACTTGAATCTTCAGAATACTTCCGAAACAAGGCAGATGTTATTAAAAAAAAGTTGAAAGAACAAATGTCAGTCTTGAATCTTCAGAATACTTCCGAAACAAGGCAGATGTTATTAAAAAAAATAAGTTATAAAAACAAATGTCAGTCTTGAATCTTCAGAAAACTTCCGAAACAAGACAGATGTTACTTAAAAAAATAAGTTGAAAGAACAAATGTCAGATTTGAATCTTCAGAATACTTTGGAAACAAGACAGATGTTGTCAGACAGACAGATGCAGTCAGACTTCCATCTTCAGAAACAAAACAGATGTATTAAAATAAAGAACGAGTAAATGTCAGATTTCAGACTGAAGCATCACGCCAACAAAGTGTTTTAAAAATATCGCAGCACTTTTTGAGAATGCGGTAAAATGAGGATTGAGAATTGATTGATAGGGTCATGTTAAACGATTCATAGCGATTTTTAAAGAAAAAATTTACTAAAACCAATTTTGTTAAATTAAGCTTTAATGGTGGCCCTGATTAAACAGATCTGTGTATGGTGTTGAATTCAATGAAATAGGAAAAATTTTTGGTGAGTAAATGCGATTAGGCGCATTCTTAAGGATGTTCCTGTGAAGGAACGGCAAGTAGATGTAAGAAAGCGACTCAAATTAGTATAAAGTCCAGCTACAAAGAGTCGTCTATGCTCAAACCATAACAGCTGAATTCTTTAAAGCGCATGCTGCAAATGCATCTTATGTGTCCGCTTTCAGTTTTATAGTAGTGGAAAATAAAGCCTGCATCCCGACAGAGTTCCTCAACACAATACGATCCGTTTACGCAATTTATTGACAAAACGTACAATTGCTTTTGCACAACCGCGGTACTCATCTGATCAGGAGTTCGTAGACTTTCTCATGTTTCCTGGCCTTAAGGACTTTAAGTGCGCATGTTTTGCAGTCGTTTTAAAACAGACATTTGGGTCTTAATCGATTCTGAAAGACATCTTGTTCAACTCATTTCAACAAATGTATCATTAATGTCAAATGTGTATAGTGACCAATAAGTGTTACTTTGAAAGTGCGCAAAAATATCTTTTTTTTTTTAGTTTTGACTTTATTTCCTTTATGTATCTAATTTTTAGATGCGTCTTGTAGTTCAATACGTTCATGTGAAACAAACATAATAAAAAATTATTTTTTAAAGCGTATGTTTCTTCTTCTTTTTTTTTTAAAAAAAAATTACTCTTACAACTTCTTGTTCCTAAAATTTTCAGAATTCATATTCATTTCAGAGGAATATTTGAACTAAATGAGAAATATTTTTAAATTTATCAATGGTAAAATATGTTGCTGTTCACTAAGTTTCGTCTTCAACTAAAGAGTTGTGTATTTGTCTTCTAAAAAACACAACATATTTTAAAAAACACAACGCATTTTGAGGAATAAAATTTTAAATAATTTTCTAAAGGCTAATATTCATTAATGCAATCGTCCAAAACACTGTAAAAGTTATCGTGTAATATCTATCCGAATTTGGTGTTGAAAAACTCGATAAATTGTGTGAATGATTACTTGATTTAAAGTTAATACTGAATAGAAGGTGTAGTTAAATCATAACACCAATAATTAATAAAGTTTACACTAATCTGAAACTCACTGGGGAAGAAGTTGTTTTTTGCGGATCTCCGTAAATTTCGCGATTAAACAGTGTATTTCAAACTATTTAACCAAATATTTTGGGGAAATGATGGTAGAGAATGTTTTAAACGTATATCAAATGCTATTATTAGAAGTTTAAAATCAAATAAGTGCACAGTTTTGAGATTGTCAAAACATAGCGGCTAAGATGGCGGTTTGTTTATATGAAGTGTACTGGGGAAATATGAGAGCTTCTTGCCGGATTTAATTGACAAACTGGTTATAGCTCATTCAATACCAAGTAAGTTTCAATTGAATTGCCGGCCTGGTGACCGAGCGGTTAGCGTTCCTGACTACGAAGACAATGGTTGCGGTTTCGAGTCCCATCTCAGGGTATGGATGTTTCTGTGTGTGTGTCTCGTCCTCTGTTGTGTGTCGTCTCATGTGTGTTGTCCTCTGTTGTGTTTGGTGATGTGTGAATTTGGCCCACCCCATGAACGGGTATCTGTGGCAGTGTGACGTGGATAATGTTGCTCGCCTCCGTGACTTAGGTTCACAGGTGCCCGCTGGGTAGCGTTAAATGAGCAAGACTTCCGGCATTTTTCCAGGTGAAGAAGGTAATATCAGTGCCTCATGTTAGAAAAAAGATAAAAGTTTCAATTTTGTTATAGAAAAGTTTGATAATGGTCGATTATTTGCCAAGTAATTTCAATCTTCTTGCCAAATTGATCTGATAAACTACTCATATAAGTTGTTATAAAATGTATGCATGTTTTTAGATGCGTAATAAAGATATTTATGTTGTATAAGATGTACATTAATCTGGCAATTGTATAAAATAATTTTATAATATTTAGTATCTATTCACTTCAGTTTTACTTGAATTCCCATTAATATTCTGTGTTGTGTGCACGTTTAATAAACTAATTTTATTTTAAGAAAGAGTCATATGTATCTATAATTGTAAATTTTAATAACAAATAATAATTAAATGATTGAGAATTGAATAATTGAATAACAAACATGATGACGGTTACTTTACACCAAGTATTGCAAAACAACTTTGTATGTGTTTCACTAGATCAAGAATGGTTTTGGTGTACAGTGCGCAAAATAAAAGACGGATCACCCTTAATAACTTTTAATCTAATGATCGGATCTTCACGTTCTAGGACTTATGGTGACCTCAAATATTCTAATTGGTTCAGAAAATATTTTAAGTTAAGAAATCAGACAAGACGTACTTTTTCTGAATACCTTTTTTTTCCCCAACGGATTCAATTTTCTGATCCCCAAATCAGAAGGGAGTAGTCGCAATCTAGGAAATGCGCTCCCCATAGTTTAGTCAGGAGAGCGGCCCAAAGTTTGCACCCCCTAATGTTAATTTTACTTTTTTGCGCATTTCGCCATTTATTGAGACATTTTTAAGTGAATTGAAAATTTTTTACACACAATTGTTAAATTCGTTTATCTAAGGATAATTCCATGCAAAAATTATCTTTTAGTAAATATTTATCATTTTTCAATATTTCATTGATGTAAGTCGAAAAATTTTTGAGTTGCGAGGAATTCAAGTTTTTACATCGTTTTAAAGAATTCTACCTGAAAAAAAAAATTGAGTGAAATCAGTCGAATAGTTCCTGAGAAATCGAATAATAATTGAACGACTTTTTTTCATACCGTTCTATTGTGATAAGAAAATTTTTTGATGTGCTACTCCTTAAGCACATCGAATATTTTCACGTGTCTCGTCAGTGGTGGGTGTAATAATTAACTCTAGGATGTATTTGAAATTTCGATATTTACTAATATTTTGCATTCATCATACAATGATTAAAGTATTATTTTCAAATAATTTAAGATTTAGAGGCACCCTTTGTTTAAAGTCCATCCACCACAGCAAGGTAGCGCTACTTCGCAGAGGATTAGTTTTTAATTGCTCTGCTAAAAACCACATAAAATACTGACAAAGATTTAATTTTTAATTGTACTTTGATCGAAAATCGTGTAAAATGCCAACATTTATTTTGTCTTTGAGCCAAAGACCAAAGAAAAAGGAGCTGCAGGAAAAGAACTAGACAAAACGTGACCTTCAAAGCATATTGATGCTGTTCTTCTGGACATTCAGAAAGATTAAATTAATGTCATAATTGGTCTGTCAGTCAAATCAATTGCAAGTTAAAAAAGGTTGAGCGCGTTCAATGTTTATTATTTAACTGCAAGTAAGTTTGGAAAGAAACTTGGAATACCTTATGAAAGCATTTCACAATAACAGAGTACATCAAAAACACTTTCTAGAAAGGAGCCTCAAAAGAACAAGTTGATCTCACCACTATCAGGATGGAAATGAATGGAACTAAGTAAGGTTTCATTATTACTTTTATAATTCTTAAATGATAGTAATGTTGACAGGAATATAAAGTAGTTTAGGTTAAATAACAAACTTAACAATTAATAAGTTTATAAATAAAAAACAAAACAACAAGTTAGACATGCAAAGGGGGGCACCATATTCCTAGAGGGATATATATATACACACAACTGTAGATTATTCCTTAAAAAAAGGAACAACAAATGAATAAAAAATCGCTAGCAGAAAATATAAAAAACAAATTCAAGTCAAAATATAAAATTAAAAATATTTTTCTGTCTTCATGTCTTTATTTTGAAATAAAGGAACAGTTTAGTTTTTTTTTATTAAATTTGATTCCGATACAAACTTTTTCGAATTATTTCTGAAGTTTGATTCTTGTTAGGTGCAGACAAAAACATCAGCTAGGTGTACAGTAGAACATATTTTTGTAATTTTTTTCACAACAATTTTCCTCATGAAACTGCAAGATCGTTTTATTTCTTTAAAAAGAGCCATTTCTACCGAATCTGCTTTTTTTGTAAATCGTTTCTGTATTAGGGTTTACATAAACTTCCATGTTGTGTTTCATAAACTGAATTTTGAGTTCAAAAACTATTTAGCGCACGCTTCTTCCGAATTTTCTTGTTTCTATGTTCACGCATTTTAAAGCAAGAAACAACCGCGTCTCAACTTTTTGCGCTGAAAACTGTAGAGCTTATTTGTTTAAAGTTTATAATTCTGTTAAATTTGAAAAAAATAACATAATTTTTATTCATTTTGAAAAGAAAAAAAAATAGCAATTATATTTTTTCAAATGAACTTACTTAAAAGAAGAAAATCATTTAATTTAACAGACCTAAAATGAAACAATTTGGACGCATTACTTTTAAAAATGATGAGGAACGATAAAAGATCACTACCAAATGTGTTGCCTTTATTTGTGATTTTGAACATTTAACATTAAAAAAACGTTGGAAACAATGCTTCGTTTGTCTATGTTGAAATGCTAGACGTGAAAACAAGTATCAATACAAAATTGCTCTTTAGTAACATAAAACTTTTTATACTTCTGGACAATATTTTTAATTTATAACCGTCGTAGAAGAGCAGACTCAATTTTTTTCTTTACAACTATTGATATTCAACTCCGTAGCCTTGTAATTTTTGAACCCAATCCTGAAGACAAGGGGAATCCTGGATCAAGTATTGAGAAAAATTTGCCTTCGCGGAGGATTTTGTTTGATGGAACTAACCCAAATTTGCATTAAATGGAGACGGATACCACGAAAACCTCCCATGGTTAGCCTGACGGCAAGGGGACTCTTACCCATAATCCGTCAACCACTGAGAATATTTTATGACAATACTGTGGTTGCTGCGAGCCTGGTGCAGAAATCCTATCAACCAGCCAATGCTGGGATTCAAACCCGGTTCACCTTATTGGAAGACGAACGCTCTATTGCCTGAGCCACCATGGCTCATATTTTCATTCACTAAATTCTGATCTCATTAAATTTAGAGCTTCTTCCTTGAAAACTTCTACTCTTAGTGATAATTAGTGAGAAATACATTTTAAAAGTAAAAAAAATAAATTCTAATTGTTTTTTACAACTACCTAAAATTACCTCATAAGATTAAAAAATAGAATTAAAGTCTTTCAATGTCAGTAATTTGCAGCTGAAATCGTTTCCATGGTTAATCAATATCTTTATTATAGGAAAGTAATCTTATGCTGAATTTAAGAGAATTATTGTTAAAAAGTAAAACCAAGAATCGATATCAATAAAGATCTTTCAGTAAATTAGTTTCAATAAAATCGATTTAAATATAGGCAGTAAAGAAAAAGATTAATACGTTTTAAATTAGTCATTTTCTTTATCACCGTTTAATAAATAGTTAGTTGTTATATGTAGTATGTTTAAAAGGATTGTACAATAAAAGGTAAGTTCAGATTATAATTAATATACAGAACAATGAAAATTATTCAAACTCGTGAAAACTAATGTTTGATTTAAAGGAAATACTGTTAAAAAAAGGCATTTAAACGAAAATGCATAAAAAAACCTTTAATAGATTAATTTCAATAAAATCGATCCAAAATCAGGAAAAAAAGATTTGAAAGTAATCTATTTGAATTTTTATAGCCCAGAATTATGTTTTATTTGCTTATATTTTTTTTACCAGAAGTGCCGTTACCATACAATATGGTAAT